CCGCACCAGCTCCCCTTTGCATAAACCCTGTTTCACACTTGTCTGTCCTTAGCAACTGGAAAAGGAGCTAAAGGAACGTCAACCCCAAGTGAACTCCCTGCAAGAGATTTCAGACAGCCTTCTCATTAAGGGGCCCGGAGAAGACTACATTGAGGCCAAAGAGAAGGTGCACGTCGTTGAGAAGAAGCTCAGAGGGTTACTGGAGCAAGTGTCCCATGACCTAATGTCCTTGCAGGGAAGCCAGGTGAGTCCCCGGGAGGCTTTCAAATAAAAAGATGTCATAGCAAATGCAAGCGGGAAGGCCACTAGCTCACCGTGGGTCTGCCATCTCGAGTCATGACCCTCTCTAGCCGTGTGGCCGGAAAACATTACATAAGCTCTGGAAGCTGTTTTATCGTTTGTAGCGTAGGAGGGATATACCATAACAAGAGTGTCTTCCTATCAGCAGGGCTGGGCTAATCAACACAATTCCAGTGCTTCCACCATTTCTGCCTTGCCTTCATGTTGAAGACATGAGCCTTCACTTTTCTCACATACCACACTCCATCCTGCTCACTCTCCTCTGACCACGTTCTCATTTGTCTGCTTCCTGGCCTTTAAAATGTGTTCCAGCTCAGAACAAATGAACACCCAAACCGCGGCCCCTCCATTCCAGAGTTCACATTTCCTCCCATGCAGCAGGACCATGTGGTCTCGCTGGCACATGGTCCCGGCAGCACTTGCGTACACTCACTGTCAGCTCCTCTTCTGTCCCTCTTGCTCCTGCTGACCTCAGCCTCCCCCCACATGTGCTGTGGTTTTTAATGCAAGAAGTTGGCCTTGTTTACATACATTCCCTTTTGTTTGAAAAAGCCCCTCTTCCGGGAAGATCTGAGCTGGGAGGGGTGAGGGGGGTGGCGTGATGAAGACTGCATGAAGCACGTTTTTGTGCTGTGGAGACTATTCAGAACCTGTTTCCCTGAATTGAATGGACTCGTGGGGTATGGATTGCAGATCCCAGACCCGTCTCTGCCCGGCCCAGATGAGGTGGATGCTGGAGAAAAGACTCCAGCCGTGTACGTGCCAGCTTCCCCAGCAAAGGTGAGAGCCTTCCACTGTGAGAACCACACTGTTAGTTCCCAAAGCCACTGAGAGGACAGGAAAGGGGGACTCCGTGGCCCCCCTAGAGCACACATGGCGCCATAGACTGCTCCGGCCTGCTGCTCGGGGGGAAGGGCCTCTCTGGTTCCTCTGGGACGGTGCCAGGTTGTGAAAGAGGGGAGCCTCTACAAACCCAATTACTACCGTGTTTCCCTGAAAATAAGACATCCTCCGAAAATAAGACCTAGCGCAACTTTGAGATAAAAAATTAATATTCAGACACTGTCTTATTTTCGGGGAAACAGGGTACTTACCTTGTAGAGCTTCGTATCAAACAAATTCTCTAGTCGCCAAAGCTTATCAGGAAGCCCACCTAAGGAAGGATGTTTCCTTGTCGACAAAACTAAAAATGTTCAAGTCACTAACTGGATTGTTTTCATCCAGGAGACCGGAGCAAAGAGAACTACCAAAGGCAAGAACAGGACAGACAACAGGTAACGGCCCTGAATGCCCCTGTTCCCCCGCCAGGCTCACCAAGGCCACAGGGTCTTTGTAAAAACCGGTGTTCTTTCACCTGGAAAGGGCGCGGCTTCCCTTCCAAACCTGAAGCCCAGCCTTTGGTCCCATTTTAACCTCAGGTCCTGGGGGTCTTACTTACATGAGCAGGGGGTCAGGAACCGAGAGTGGGTTTTTGCCTCCGAGCCTCCTGCTGAGCTCTCCGCCTTCTCTGTTGCCAGGGTGCCGGGCCCCGCCGGCCCGGGCCGCTCGCTGCCACAGCGCTCCTTCCTGTGCCGGGTGTTCCGGGCGGCGCTGCCCCTGCAGCTGCTGCTGCTCCTGCTGCTGCTCCTGGCCTGCCGGCTGCCCTCCTCCAAGGAGGACTACAGCTGCACGCAGGCCAACAACTTCGCCAGGTCCTTTTACCCCATGCTGAGGTACACCAACGGGCCACCCCCCACATAGAGGCTCAGCCTGCGGCGGCGCCACCACCAGCCTGTGTCCTCGGGAGCCCAGCTCGTGGCCCCACACCGACCTGTGATGACTGAGCGGCGGCACCGCCCGCCCAGGGACCTGCTGCGGACACCTCCCTGCCGGCTCGGCCAGAGAGGACTGGTTTGGGGATCTCTGGGAACCGCAGTTTCCCGAGGAGCCAAGCACTTTGTGAATTCTGACTTATTTGTAAACATTATTAAAATGTAGCTGATATGGTCAGATGAACAGTCGTGTTCATCACGTAGCGTATGTTCTAGAAAACAAGCAAGCAGATTCTGCCTTAGAAATGGTTTCGGAAACTCAATTTCACCCTTGGCTGACGGAACAAAACTATCCCGTTTTAAAATGTTTAGAATTTTACTCCAATCAGCTAACAATTCTGAGCTACAGGTTATAAACCAAAATGTTCTGTTCAGCGCTTAGGTCTGCCTCTTTTATATTGCTTTAAATTTTTTAAAGAAATTATATTGCATGGATGTGTTGTGCATATTTTTTAACAATGCTGCATCTGTATGAATGTAAACTTTGATTTTTTTAAGAAAATCAGATTTTAGCTTTGGACTAATGTACAGTAAATGCCAAAATACATACTTGATAGGGGCATTTTTATAAGTTAATTTTATAAGACTTTTCACATTCAAAGCGCTGCTTCAGGTTTTGACTGTTTGGCTACAGGGGGGTTGGTACAGATACCTGAAGCTGTTTGTCGTATGTACAATGTTTCTCATAAAAACAAAAAATAGCCATACGCTTGTTGTGCTGGATTATGTTACAAAGCAGCTAAATAGTATGTGTAATCTCCCCAGAGAACAAAAATTATTTTTAAACTATTTAGAGGGATTTGTTGGTTTTAGTTCTGAGATATGCTTTATATTCTAATTATTTAACTTTGTACAGAATAATATGAGATCTATAGAGACCTACCCCTTTATATGAGGCAGCTGCTCAGTGTGTGACCCTGTAGAGCTGTAGGGAAGCATAATCTCACCCAGATTTTCTATTCCCAGCTCTCTCCAAAGCGAATAGTGTTTAGCAAACGATATAGGCAAAGCCACCTGCTACTGCTATTTTCCACCTAAATAAAAAGAGGGTGGTTAGAAGTTTCTGAGCCAGTTCCTTTTAGCCACTCCTAACCTGCTCCTTGGGAGACACCGCTGACTCAGCAGCAACCTCAGTCCGCTCTCTCCTCCCAGAACACAAACCTCCCGGAAGCCGCGGAGGCCCACTTCTGTGGATCAGACACCCCCAGGATGTGGCAGCTTACAGAAAGGCATCGTCCGAGGGCATGGAGGGGAAGTAACTTCAGGGTCTTTTAATTCTTTAACTCACCTCTCTGACCAAAGGAGGTAACCACTCTGGAGACCTTTGCTGCCCCTAAGGAGGGACTCTGGTGAGTCCAAGTGGAAAAGGAAGTGTTGCTTGCATTTTAAAGCCTAATTATGCACACCAAGTCTCAGGATAAACCCTCACCCAGGGAAGCCTTTCTGTGTGTAACTCATTGGAGCCCCAAAGGCTTGTTAAACCTCATCTGCTTTACGCTGTCCTAAGGTTTAGCATTCCCCACCCAAAGCGACGTTTCATTAAGATAACTTCAGCATGAATGAATTCTTTTTTCCCTATCCCTAAAGTGGGGTTTAATTCTAAGTGACTCAGATGAGATAATTACGGAAAAATCTATCCAAATTTATATATTTGTGGGCTGCATTTGACTTGAGCACACAGCACCTGTGGTCATAAATCATGTGTGAGATTAGCTAACCATTAAATTGCTACCGTCTAAAAAACGTTCAACAGCATAAGTCAAAGATTCTTAACTCCTGAAATTGTACACAAGCATCTGTTTGTGTACCTTTTCTAGGAAGAGTATAAATGGTTTTCATGAAATTCTTTAAAGGCTCTGCAAACCTAAAATAGAATTCAGAAGAGAATGGGAATGCTGCTTAGCCTAATCCCTGAAAATCCTTATGCTCAACTCCCAGCAAATACAGTTTTAAAGCCAAAATTATGAAAAAAACATTTTATTTAGCTTATGTGACATTAAACTTCTTTATGCAACAGTGCCATAGACAGTCAAGGGACACGGCAAAGAAAAAGCAGTACCTGGAGGAGCAGAAAGCAGATCTCAAAATCTTCTTTCACACAACAGCAAACATTTGTAAAAAGGCCCAAATTTAAAAGCCCGCTAATGGTACAAAGCATTCACCTGAAAAAAATGACAAATGACAGCCAACAGTCTCAGGTACACAGGGCCCCTAAGGGAGGTGACAGGACTGAGCCGCAGCAGCAGACCCTGCACAGAGGAACACCTGCAGGTGCAGAGGCGCTGTATTGTGCCGGCATCGCAAGCCATCAAGGAAACCCACATCACACAGCAGTGCCTGGCCCACAAATGAATGGGAGCCTCCACTCAAAGCAAGAAAAAGGGTTCTAAGGTCACATATCACAAAGAACACGTACTTTAGAGCTGTCACTACAGCCCAAATTCCAGAAGAAGCATGTGTTGCACACTACAGGAACCCAAACTCCACAGGGAAGCATCAGTGCCTAGAAGATGTGAGAATTTTACATGCGTAAACTGGTAAATTTCCAAGAAACTGCACCTGGGAAAGCAGTAACAGATAAAAGGAGGTGAGGGCAGTACTACCTACTAGCTGATGAGCCCCGGATGGGAGGAACAGAATAACAAAATGCATCTTATTTTTTCCACCTGTCATTCTGGCCCTAGCCAATTTGACTCAGTGGACAGAGTATCGGCCTGCAGATTGAAGGGTCTCAGGTTTGATTCCCAGTCAGGGCACATGCCTGAATTGTGAGCTCGATCCCCAGTAGGGGGTGTGCAGGAAACAACTGGTCAATAGTTATCATTGATGTTTTTATCTCTCCCTCCCCTTTTCTCTCTGAAATAAATTTTTTAAAAAAAAGTGCTCTTCTGTAAAAGTTCGTAGAATCTAAAGGCAATTGTAACTTAGCCGTGTCTCCCTTACACACCGAGACTTCAGAATCAAGTCCTGTAGCAGGGACCATGCTAACCAGAAGATGAAATCTGACCTAAGCTTTGCCAGATGTAGGTTTATTGACCTTGAGCAGGTCAGTTTACCCCTCTGGGCTTTAATTTACACATGTATAAAAGACGGGGCGGAACTTGGTATCTATAAGGGTGTTCCAGAAATTGGGGCCACCTCGTCACAAGCAGGCCCCACCCAAACCAGAGAGGCCATGACTGTCAGATCGCTTTTAATGAGTGGATTCTGCAGTCTAAATATATTCTTCCTTAGTTTTCCTTTTAACTAGTTAAATTACACAGCCTGCATTCAGTTCTGTCATTTATTACCTGCATGACATTGAGCAAGTTTGCTTATTCTCTCTGGCTTCCACGGCCAAAAAGAGAGGACAATGGTAATTGCTATGAGGATTAACTGGATGGATGAGGCACTGAGAACTATGTCTGGCACCCAGTAAGTGTTGCTCAAATATTTTAAGGTACTAAATGATGTATCTTTACAATTTCCTTCACATAATCTTTACTATGTTTTTAAAAGATTTTTAGTGCTTAGAGAAATGCATCAAATATTATTTTTAAAAATGTTTTGTTTCAAAACAGACCTAGAAATGCAAGGTTTACCTTGAAAAGGTGTCAACATATGCAAGTCCCTTAACAAATTTAAATACAACCAAACTCACATGCTAGAAAATGGCTTATATCTATGAATAGGTAATACTAGAGGCCCAGTGCACAAAATTCATACATTGGGGTGGGCGCTGTCCCGAAGCCCAGCCTGCATCCTTTCCAATCTGGGATATCCCTCTCCCAATCCAGGACTGCTGGCACCCAACCACTCACCTGCCTAATTGCCCCTACCCGCTTCTGCCTGCCAGCCTGATCACCCCCTAACAAGTTCCCTGCTGGCCCAATTGCCCCTAACTGCCCTCCCCTGCAGGCCTGGTTGCCCCCTACTGCCTTCCCCTGTTGGCCTGGTCACTCCTAACTGCCCTCCCTTGCCAGTCTGGTTGCCCCAACTGCTCTCCCTTGCCAGTCTGGTCGCCTAACTGCCCTCCCCTGCAGGCCTGATCTCCCACAAGTGCCCTCCCCTGCCAGCCATCTTGTGGCAGCCATCTTTGACCACATGGGGACGGCCATCTTGTGTTGGAGTGATGGTCAATTTGCATTATTACCTCTTTATTAGATAGGATAGCTCTGCCAAGACTTGGAAACTGATTGTTTTTTACTGACATCTAAAATAATTGTCCTTCCAGCTGAGCAAGCAGGGAAGTAATTCAAATAGAAGTGATCTCACTGCAGAGCTTTTGATTTTGAGTTTTGTTTTTTAACAGTTAGCCTCCAGACCTGTTCTTATTAGGCTGACAAATGATAATCCTCTGTTCCCACTTCAATGTTTCAGGAAAAAACTCTTTAAAATTATTTTAGGGTTGAATCCTTTGTAGGGAGTTCTGATGGACAACAAGCATGTGACAGGCCAGACCGAGGTGGTATGATGAGTTGGGAGGGAGTGCAGTTAGAGCAATGTGTGAAAACTCACAGTGCAGCCCCTGGGTGCCCACACAGTCCCCCTCAGGCACTGCCACTTCTCTCCGAGGAACCTGAGTGAACACTGTCCTAATGTGCTCTGTATTGAGAGTAGTCCATAGAAATTACATAATTGAAAATTGTCTATATGACTCCATATTAGACATTCATGTTTGGAAATAAGCCCAAATCTCACTCATTCCCACAAAATTGGTTTCTCGTATTAAAAGACTTAAATATCAAAACAGTGGATCACTGTTCCATCACACATTAAGGTGTAGTTGGGCCCATAGCTGGTTTTGCTCACTGGTTAGAGCATCAACTCGAGAACCAAAGGACATGTGGGAAGCAACCAACTGATGTGTCTCTCTCATGTGGATGTTTCTATCCCTCCTTCTTCCCTTGCCACTCTCTCTAGAAATCAAATATTCTCAGGTGAAGATTTTTTTTTTAAGTGTAGTTGGGTGGGTTTTTGTTTTTTAATACTCAATTCCTGTTGATAGTTGTCAGCTCCCACTTTCGCTAGCTCACAGATAGGAAACCTTTTTTCTGGGCCATTTTGGATATTTATAACATCATTTGTGGGCCATACAAAATTATCAGCTTAAAAATTAGCCAACTATATTTGGCCCAACATTTAATTAACTCACGCCCAATGCCTTGGTAAGGCCAGACCAAACGATTTCACGGGTCTTATATGGCTCTCAAGCCAGACATTCCCCACCCCTGCCCTAGTTAATTCCTTTTAAAGACTGAACTTGAAAACACTGAAACCCTTGCATAGCTATGGGAGAATTTTAAGCTGTCCATGGACCATTTTGGGGGATGGATATCCTGAAAAAGACATTTAAAAAGAAAGTGCTATTAAAATGAAATCTTTAAAATGGACATTGAGCCGGGACCAGTTTGGCTCAATGGATAGAGCGTCGGCTTGGGGACTGAAGGGTCCCGGGTTCGATTCCGGTCAAGGGCATGTACCTTGGTTGCGGGCATATCCCCAGTAGGGGGTGTGCAGGAGGCAGCTGATTGATGACTCTCTCTCATCGATGTTTCTAACTCTCTATCTCTCTCCCTTCCTCTCTGTACAAAATCAATAAAATATATTTTAAAAAAATAAAAAAATAAAATGGACATTGAGCCAAAACCGGTTTGGCTCAGTGGACATAGCATTGGCCTGCGTACTGAAAGGTCCCAGGTTCGATTCTGGTGAGGGGCATGTACCTTGGTTGCTGTGCAAGAGGCAGCTGATCGATGATTCTCTCATCGATGTTTCTAACTATCCCTCTCTCTTCCTCTCTGTAAAAAAATCAATAAAAATATATTTTAAAATAAAATAAAATGGACATTGAGGAGTTTACCCAAAACATGTAAAAATGGCATCCTGATCTTGCACACTGGTTCTTCTTAGAAATGACGGAAGGATATTTTTGGAGCAGATGGCATAGAGACTCAAAACACTTCATTTGAAAGTGGGGAAATGCCCTTGAATATTAAAACAAACAAAAAACTTTAAACTATAGACCATGTTATCTCAATAGCCTACCTGGCCCAGACCCAGCACCACGCAGGCCTCTCAGGTTGGACTAAATAACCTGTGTCCCCAGCACACGCAAGTGAGGCCTGAGCCAAGAAGTTACCAAGATGGCACATCCCCCTGAGGCGCCGAGTCCCAATGCAGTGGGAGGGGCAGCCTCAAGAAGCATGCAGGAGTATCTGTGAACAGGGAGCCGTGGGCACTGGTGAGTCTGGATCAGCACAGGCATGGCACTGAAAGGTGCTTCATTAGACACGAGTCCAGCCTGGGGCCTTCCTTAGGCATCAATAATCAACCTAAAGGCCTTCATTCCATTACCTCATTCTGTTTTTTGTTGTTTTGTTTTGCTTTTAACCTGTTATCTCTTTTATAAATATAATTAAGAGAATTTCATCGGCAAAGAATTGTTCAAGGCCAGGCTATCTTCTTTGCCTCCCATCCCCCTCTATTGGTCATGGGGCTTCTAAGCTAGCTACTCAGAAGTAAAATTGACCTGGACAACACTGGCTCTCTGTCCCTAAACAATCAAGCTTATTTTCTGTATTGGATCTCACTGAGGCTGTAACATTGAGTCATTAAGAATAATTTCAGATCACCTCAGAATACAGACAATGGTGTATTCTCTAGATATATGCCCCAGTGTTTCTGAAACAGTTCTCAACTTTTAGAAAAGATGCACCAATATCAAAATTAAGATGTATTCAAGGTCTCACCAGCAGAAACCAATCTTTATATCACTGAATTATTCTAATGACTTAGTAAACACAGAGCATGCTAGCCACAGTAAACCTATTTTCAAAAAGAAAATGTGTTTAATCTCATATCACAAGGTAATTTTTTGAAACCACAAAAATCACACATGATTATTTAATTGCTCATTTTCAAAACATAGATGTAACTCATTTTATGTATTCACTCTGTTCCTGAAAATTGGTATGAAAATTTCCATTATTAAAAAGTAAGTTAAAATTGTAATTTGAGGTGCCTTATCATCATGTCCTATTTATGTTGTGCTTGGAATAAAAACTAATATTTTACTAAGTTTCCATTTCGCCCAGTCTACCATATAAATACTCTGATATTTCTATTTCACCCAGTCCACTGTATAAATATTCTGATAAGAAAATATTTTAAAAGAGCCCTAGGGTGTAAAGAATTCCTTCTTGCTATAATTAAGCAATTATTCTCTCCTTTGAGTTCACAAACCAGGTCTTGTTCAAGTCGGCACAGTTTGACCCTGAACCTGACACACTGGTTGTTCACCCTTCCCTGGGACAGGCTGCCTGGCACACACGCAGCCCTGCCTCTGGGTGGCTGTGGCTGCCACCAATACCCACAGGATAGAACCCTATTCCTGCAAACAGCACCTTCTATGGAAGGGCAACTCCAGGGGCATAGAGATTTAAATCTCCACAGTCCTCCATGAATGTGATCTCACATACACACGCACACATGCACACATAAGGAGCAGGCTCTCTGAATGCACATCAGGAGGGACTAAAGAGGGAAGCAAGGTCTGGGGAAGAACCTGGCTCCCATCCTAGCTGGAGCACTGGCTCCCTAGTCACAGTCCCTCTGTCCTTCAGCAGAGCAGCGCTGACATCAGTCCTCCCAGGCCTGGGAGGCAGGTGGTTTTCAGCCCTACAATCAGGTAGTCCTGAGAGAGCTTACAAAGGTCTATCCTGAAAGGCAGCTTAGTTCACACAATAAAGGTTAGTCTACTTCCTACAAATGCCACGATCTCTCAACCCTTCCAGGCCAGATTCCCACCATGCACTGCAAAAGCGCCAAGATGTTCTTCCCAAAGGGGTGGGGAAAAGATGGAAAGTAAAACAGGGACCATGCTGATATCCTATGAGGCCCAGCAAGACAAAATGCATCCCAACGCGCCCCAGGTAACAAGGAAAACTGGCTTTCCCACCCAACTCCTGGGAAGTAGGGAGGTCGGGAGAGGATGGTACAGACCGAACCCACCGTGACCGAGGAGGGAGCACACAGAAAGACGAAGCCCATCCCGATGGGGCTTACAATCGCACGAGAGCTCACGCTTCAGCCGCTACCTCTGCAGCCTGTTCACCTCAGGGCTGGGCTTCACTGAGACAGGTTCTGAGAGCCCTCTTTGCTCTTACTCTTCTCTACTGGGCTGCACTCAGACCCCATGACCAAGGGCTTGCATCCATGAAGCGTGTGGGCATTCAGCATCTCCAGCAGCAGGTCATACACTGGCACCACGTTTTTGCATTTCATGCTGAGCAGGTGTTCCATGCCCTTGTTGCTATGGGGACAAGAAGGTATTGAGATTCTGTTCTGTGATTCAGCCCCAGGAACTCAACGTAAATCTCACATACATTCAGACACTCTGAGCCCTCTGTTCTATGGCTCTTGCATCTGGCTCCTTCAATAATCTACACTCAAGGGCGAGGACAATGTCCTGTGACCTCTGTGTCCCACCACCCACCCACAATGGCCTGGCAGTGCCTGGTACAGCATGCAATCGATGCTCGTTATTCATGGTAGTTACACTCTATAGTCACTAGACATTGGGTTGGCGGGATGCCGAACCATTGCTCCTGAGGGAAAAGCAGGATTAGGGTCCTGAGAGCCTAAGGAACACTACACGGCACTTTGGTATTATGCATGGAGGCCATTTGTGGACAATGAAATCTCCAACCACAAAAATGCAAACACATGGCACTAAATAGGCCACGTGAGGAACACTTGCTGCAGTGTGAAGAAGGCAGAGCATAACCTTGGTTGACCTCAGCTGGGAATAGAAGCACAGGCAACTCAAATGTTTTGCCATTCTGTGACTGTCCCCAAATGATCACGCAAGTGCCATGAGTAATCAATTTGGGAGGTTACAAATAAAGTTTAGCAAGTGGGCAAATTTGCAAATATAGAAACTGGGATTACGATAGACTCTATCTGTTCTGCAAATGGTTGTGAACAGAATGATCATTCAACAGAAGCAGAGGCTGTTCTCATTTCCTAACCTTTGTTAACATCCTTGAGGGGCATGTGTTCCTCCCCACGGCCCCTAGACTTTCCTCCTTATCTTCCCTCTTCCAGCCCCAGGGCAAGCCACCATGGGACATCACACAGCATTACCACCTTGCAAAGAACTGTGGACTCACCACTTCTCTTAGGCCTCATCCTTATGTCCTGGTGCCATCGCAAGGAAAGAACAGCTCTCAGGGAGGGCTTTGTACACTTCCCCAGATCACAGATCTCAAGAGTCGCTCTAGGAAAGCTGGGTTTAACCTCTTTAAGGAAATGACCTGGGGACTCCAGCCCTAGGTGGTGCAGGGATGGGTGGCAGTTCACTTTAAGGAAGAACCTGCCCCTTTTAGAACTCCCTAAACAAGCTAAAATCCCCAGCAACTAAGTATTAGATGAGCCACCACAGGATACCATAAAGATCCTGTAAGGAGCCACGTGACAGTCATTCGGTGCCCACTACGTGCTGACCTTTGGTTACAGGGATGTGCCCTGATGAAGAACCCCCATTCCCTTTCACGGCTTCATCTTCCTTTAAAGGCCACAATTCTACCTTATCCACCTCAAACTTGAAAACCCAAAGCTCTTCACCCTCTGAACATGTGCCCCCTTCCCGCCATAAACCCAGGGGGAAGGGCCCCTTACGGATGATACCTGGCGTGCCTGACGTGAGAGAGGAGCATCAGGAGGTTAGCCAGGCGGACGGACTGCTGCTGGGAAGGGATGCCGCTCTTGGCGATCACCCAGACCAGAGCATCGGTCACAGCATTCAGCAAGTGAGTCAGCTTTCGGCTGCTCTCAGCCTCCTGAGTTGCTGCAGCTAAAGGGTACATACCTAGACAAAGAATCAAGGCCATGACTCATTGCTCTGCGAAAAGGAAACAGAAGTTGTGTGCTCAGGCATTAGGCATGCCAACATTCTCCTGAAAGAAGGACAATGCTCAAATGGGTTCTGACATCTGCATGGATAGTGGTGTCCTACGAGCCAGCCCCATGGCTGAATGGAAAGAGTAAACCTGGCTGAATTTGGCCCAGCATTGTGGCCTTGCCTTGAAAATGTATCAAACCATTATATGGTCTTGTCATTTGCATGAACAAATCCTATATAATAAAAGCATAGTATGCAAATTGCCCCCTCACCCAGGAGTTCGTATGGGAATTTGACCAGGGGGCAGGGCTGGGGGGGGGGGGGGGGGGGGCGGGCGGGGGGGGGGGGGAAGGGAGGGACTACCCAGACTGCAGCGGCTATGGACCCTACCAGTGCACAAATTTTGTGCACTGGGCCTCTACTATACATATAAAGATGGTCAGAAAGTGAGAGTAAGTATACTCCTAGCCCCTGGAGAGCTCTTCATTAAGGGGAGTTTAATAAAAATAGACTGCTAACCATTGCTACATAGCTTCTCCCACCCAGCCCCTCTATGTGTGCCATGTGCAGACAGTCCCAGTAAGCTTGCCACCATCTGGCTCTGTGCAAGCCATCAGCATCCAACCTCTGGTGGCACCTTGCTGGGGACAGGAAGACCACCAGTCTGGAGTCAACAGACCTACTTTATGTCTGTTGTCTGTAGCTCTGACCCCAAACCAGTTTCCCAACTCCTCCAACCTCACCTCCTCAGTGAGCAAAGCTTGCAGACACATGTCTGCTGAGGTCTCCACAACCTTCCCATCAGATGCTCTATGTTTAATTCCCCTCTGGCGTTAGGATCTGAGATACTGTGGCCTCCCAAAGGTTGCAAAATAGCAACTCAGGTAGATCTCCTTCCCTCCACTCCACCCCATCCCCAACCTCTGACTCCCTAATTCCTGGAAGCAGGAAAATAACTAGCTTTTCTTCCAGATTTTCAATTTCAAACAGATGAAACCAAAAGGGGAAATGCCAACTTTTGACTGTAATGAGAATGAAGGATGGTTGGTATTCCATCACCCACCAAATCTGTTTTGGCAATTTTTGTTCTCTATTTTTATTGACATTTTCAGTCTAATTAAGGCAACTTAGTTCAATTAAGGCAAGGGACATAATGAACCACAATTATGCAAGTGTAGTGCTTCACCACATCCCTGTAGCATATCCCTCCATAATGTCTCCTGATGCAGATTTAAAATATCCATTTTTTAAACTGCCTGGAACTGCTTCTCTAACCACCTGCTCACCCACCGCCTTCTCCTCAGGGAATGAGTCCTCCCACTGTGCCCCACAGCACATAACCTGCCCTTCCACTGCAGAGGAAACAAGCCCCAACCTCAACCCAACGTGCCCCTTTGAATGGCCAAAATCAGATCTGCCCTCAGGGTTGAGGCCAACTGGGACAGTTCTGCAAGGCACAAGACTCTCCCTCTCTTCTCATCCTCAGCTCCCGCCACACCTCACCTTGAAAATTAATTCCATTTCCTGGAACAGGTGATGCCCTGAACATGCTGCACTTTCTACTTAGGAGCTCTCTTACCATCCTCTTCTCTCCCTTCTCTTATTCTATAGTCATTCCTCCTTCAGATACCAGCTTGCTTGAACTTCCTTCTGGAAGCTTCCCCTGATCTGAAAGCTGGATGTCTTCATATATGCCCCACCCTTAAAGAAATTGGACATAAGCGCTTCAAGAGCACAAACCCATCACCTAGTGCAATGACTGGTGTGAAAGAAATGCTCATAAATGCAAGAATTAGAATGAATCCCATAGGTTCAAATTTTTGCAATTTTTAGCCGATCACACCATAATAATTGACATGATAAATATGCATGCTAATGCACATTTTAGGTATGCCATAGAAAATTAGTAATCAAATGAAAATATGGAAACTATAGTTTTAAAACTGACGCCAGCTTCAATGTCTATTTCATACATTCTGAGTTTCTAAAATATAAGGAGAGAAAGTAGACTCTGTCCTTGCTTATGCTTTTAATTTGTTACAAATAATCCAGAGGAAAAAAGCCTCTACCTCCAGATGTCTAAACCCTAGCATAGGAAAGACCCACCTCTCCTAACAGTGGAAACTTTCCAGTAGGAACAGAATCCCACTTTCTAAGGGCTGAACAGATTAAATTCATCTTGACAACTGTTATGACTACTACCAAACAAGGAAGGAACTTTCCTAATGGAAGATTTCTTAAACTTGGATTTACCATAAACAAATGCTAGTCATTTACTGCCACGAGTGGTAATTACATCACATGCCTGCCTCACCCTCTGTAGTTCTCTCAAATGTGACAGTCTGTCAGATGCTGCAGGGATGCCGTAGCCTTAGTCTCCCATTTGCACAGATGATGCTTTTAGCTTTCACAACAACACAATATGATGTTCCACAGGCTAGAAGGACCGAAAGGAGCTTTGCCAAACAGAAGGCTTTCAAATACTGCAAAGTAGTGTAACAACAAGGAAACTGCTTTCTGAGGAGCACTTTGCTGAGCAGAAATGAGTTCTAAACAATTCCTGTAGATAAGAGAAGCCCCAGAATGTGGCAGTGGCTGTTCCTCCTGTGCCAACGTGGGACCATACTTCTCAAGCAAATCTTCCCTTTAACAAAGACAGAAGTGGCAGCACAGTCAAGTGGTATCTATAGGTGGGTTGACAGAGACCAGAAAAAGTGTGGTTTTTTTCCCAGGATTAATTCTAAATGTCCCATCTGGACATTTCCTATAGGCACATCAACTTAATTCCTGGTGTAAGCTGGGTCTTTGTATTGTTTTATAAAAGGTGAATGATGACAATAAATGTCAAGAAGGAGCCAGAAGCCAAAGCATTTAGGAGTCTTCTTGACTTTCTCTACAGTTTTCATTTGTCCAATAATTTATCATTTCTACTCACAAACTGCTTGCTTTCTAGAACTGAGGTAGGAAGTGTACCAGGTTCAAGGGGCATGTTCTGTCAGGCAGGTAAGACCAGGTTTACCCAAGGAGAAAACACCCAATAGTTGTCTTCAGGGCCTCTGAGCCTCACATGACTTTCAGATTCCTTCTCTACTCTTGTCTTTTCTCTTCTTCAAGACCTAACCCACCCATCCCTGTCCAGTAATCTCAACAGCATCTCGTTCAGTTTTGCCTTCAGGTACTGCTGCATTGGTTCCAATGAACAAAATAGAAACAGGCATGGTTACATGGAACAGACTGACAGCTGTCAAAAGGGAGGGTTGTGGGACTAGATAAAAGAAGAGGAAGGGTTTAGCCAAAAGACACATATACATAACACATAGGCACAGGTAACAGTGTGGTGACAGCCAGAGGGAAAGGGGGGTAGGGGTGGAAAAAATGGGGATAAATGGGGATGAAAGAGACTTTGCTTTGGACCATGGGCGCATGATGCCCTGTGTAGATGATGTTTGTTGAGTTGTACACTTGAAACCTGTATGGTTTTGTAAACCAATTCACTCCAATAAAATCAATTAAATACATACATTCATACATATATACATACAATGAATGCATGGACCATTGAACATAAAAATAAAGTGGCATAATATGATCTCACAAATTCCTTTATTTCAAACATCAAACACTAAGCTTGGATAAAATCTAGGTAATAAAACCCCAAAGGAAAGGATCCTTAAGTCCTTAGTTGATGATTAAAACTTGGACATATATATCATTTGAGAAAGAAGAAATAATAACAAAAGGCCCAATAAGAATAAATAGCTAAGCAAAGCAATCCATACCTGGTATAGCAGGTGGACCAAGTAAATATCAGGCAGGCAGTAAACTGAACAGTATGAAAATGATATGCGAACTTAGAAAAGTGGCAAAATAACATATCTCTATTGGAGCAGTATTTATAATAGAGTGAAAAAAAGGAACTGTATATTAAGTAAAGGTTTGTCACCAGAGAAGTGATTGAACAATTTAGACCAGCGGTTGCCAACCAGTGGTCCACGGACCTCTGGTGGTCTGTGAGGTCCAAAAGGCTGGCGACTGCTAATTTAGACAAAGCCCTCACTGGAAAGATTAACTTAGCTCTCTCTTAGTTGACATGAAGGGATTTCATAGCATTTTGACAAGTAAAAAAGCAAGACACAGAGAACTATTTTATATAGTTTCATAATTTTTTTAAATAAAAAGTCTACCTTTGTATATGTAAGAAGTGAGGTATTATTTTATTTATTTTTATTTTTAATCCTCACCCAAGGATGTTTTTTTTTCATTGATTCTAGAGAGGGAGGAAATGCGGGGGAGAGAACCAGAGAAACATCAATCAGTTGCCTCCTCTACACACCCCAGCTGAGTATCAAACCCTCAACCTGTGTATGTGCCCTGACTGTGAATAATACTCACAGCCCTGGACTGAGCCACACCAGCCAAGGCTGTGAAGTATTACTTTAAATTATTATTTAAAAATGGGAGAAAGTACAAAGTCAACCCTATGGTTAAGATTAATTACTTGGTGTTGGGGTAGAAAAAGTCTATCGTTGTCCCTCTCCACTCTGACTGAGCACCATGCCTCAGTCTCTAGTCAGTCCTCCACGTGGAAGCCAGGGTAACCTTTCAAGAAGGCCCTGTCCATGATACTTCCGTCCGAACCTCTTCCAGAGCTGCTCGATGCCCCAGGCAGCAGTTCCCAGCCCAAGGCAGGCAGTTAGTCTTCAGCCCTGTCCACCTCCCTCTGCTCTGCCACTGAGTGACCTGCAGCTGCTGGCTCGCCCAGGTCCTTTCATTCCTCCACACCTATTTCTTCCACCTGCCCATCCCTAAAGACTCATGCAAACCGCAGCCCCTTCTACAGGCACTCCAGCATCTCTCGTTTTCCTGTAGTGCTCTGTACACACTTTATTATAGCACTCTCTCGCTCCATCATGAGCTACCTGAAGGCAGGACTATGTTTATAACATCTTTACTAAGTGAACCAATGAATGAACAAATGAATCTGTAAAAGCAGAACTCAAAACAGAAAATACAAATGCATGTCAACAATTTATAGTGTCTGCATAAATATTGAAAAAGGCTGAGTGGCAAACATTTTAAAGTTCATTTTTATCTTTTCCAGCTAAGTGGCTTGAGCGAGTTTTTAAATTAATATTGGTAATTTGCCCAATGAACAATTTATATTCAAGTTAATTACAGTTTAAATCCCTATCAAATAAAACAGAGAAGTCAGAGAGAAAGCCATTTCCCCCTTTTTAAATAAAATAAGAAGTTCAGCCGAAAACTGTTTGGCTCAGTGGTAGAGCATTGGTCTGCGGACTGAAAGGTCCCGGGTTCGATTCTGGTCAAGGGCATGTACCTTGGTTGCGGGCACATCCCTGGTAGGGGGTGTGCAAGAGGCAGCTGGTCAATGTTTCTCTCTCATCGACGTTTCTAGCTCTCTATCTCTCTCCTTTCCTCTCTGTAAAAAAATCAATAAAAATATTTAAAAATAAATAAATAAAATAAAATAAGTTCAGGGGGAAAAAAGAAAAGGGAAAAAAAAGAAAGAAAAAATGAATAAAAAAATAAAATAAAAAAAGAAGTTCAATACTCGTCTAAAAATAGCATTCTTCACCACCACCACCCCTCCCACCCCCAATTCCCCTTCCCAATAAAACACAGCCCAGCTGTAGGTTACTCACTGGAGTTCAGGAGGATCATGGCCTTGACACAGAGATACTCATTGTGTTGGAGTTTTAACTCACGGAACCTTGAAGTCGTTGCCAGGAGCATGTCAAAGATTTCCAGAATTCCTTCCACGCATTTCCCTTCATCCCTACAATAGTTCATTTGGAAATTTAAGAAAATCACAGCGACCAACAAAGGCAATAAGAAGTATTTTCTTTTTAATCTTAAATTTCATTTTGTTGCTGAAACCGGTTTGGCTCAGAGGATAGAGTGTCAGCCTGCAGACTGAAGGGGCCCGGGTTCGATTCCGGTCAAAGGCATGTACCTTGGTTGCGGGCACATCCCCAGTGCGGGGGGTGCAGGAGGCAGCTAATCAATGTTTCTCTCTCATCGATGTTTGTAACTCTCTATCCCTCTCCCTTCCTCTCTGTAAAAACTCAATAAAATATATATTTTTTTAAATTTCATTTTGTACATGCTTTAACTATAACATGGTGGCGATGAGACCAAACCCAGTGATATAAAATTATCAGAATCATCTTCTTATAAAGAGAACTGGGCATTTCCTATAAATCCCTAAATTAAACACTTGAATAAATACTATTTAGGCAAAAACCTGCATTGGAACTACATTTTTCTTCTACCTGTTCATAAATGTTATCTTAGGAATAACATTTTTGTTGGTAATCTAAACCATTTCAGCCAACCAGTCTGTGTGATATGACACATTAATGAAGTGAGACATTTCATGGCCCATGAGATGGCTCTAACATGTTCATGAGGAAGACTGACCATTACAGAAGCTAATATCCCAAGAAGAAATGACCCTTCATATGTAGGGATTAACTCTCATTTTCTGTTGGTTATTTGGAAACTAGAGGGGCAACTAAGAGACGTGTAAATGTAATTCAAGAAAAGCTAGCATGACATACAAAGAAATCACAATTAGAAAAGGCAGAGAGGGAGACATGGAAATGTCTGACTTGCCAAAGATGATTTTTAAGCAACAGTTTTAGACAAACTTGGAAACATATAATCAAAATTCTTTTGAGCACTCCTTAAAGAAATGATTCTTTAAGTATATATTTGAAGTAAATTACTTCAACTGTATCCAGAAAATACCAGCTTCAATTAACTCCAGCCAGACACATATTATTCTGCCTCACTGCTCCCAAAAAATTTCTATCATTATTTGTCGTAAGAGTTATTGGAAGTCCTTGACAAGCAGTTAGATCACATGTGTCAAACACAAGACCCGCGGGCCAAATCCGTCCCGCCAGGCCTTGCAATGTGGCCCGCACCACGCTGTCATCACTGCACTCCGCTGCGTTTCCATCACAATGACAGTTTATGACTGTTCAGTAAACCATTCGGCCCGCGATTTAGGCTGGATTTTAGATTTTGGCCCCTTCTCTGATTGAGTTCGACACCCCTAAGTTAGATGATTGTGCTACAAAAGTTTCATTTGCTTCTAAAAACCTGTGGTAAACAGTAGAGGATGGCCATGGTTTCTTTGAGTTTCATTTTCAGTCTCTGAGGCAGCCCTGGGGAGATTTGAGATCTTCAAAGAACTGGCTATTCCCCCCTTTCTTCCCCCCAACCCCAAGCTAGGCCATTTTCAGGGATGGTGGTAGTTGAGGAAGGGCCTCTGTAGAATTCAAGTAATCAGACACCAGTGGATACTGCCAAACCTGGGGAAGCCCTTCCTGGACAGTGCTATGCTAGGACAGCAGCTCACCAGGACCCTGCAATCCACAGCATTCGAAACCTCTTACCCCCAGACTCACCTACACAAAGCTACAAGCATGCAAACTGCTCACTTTGGCAAGCAAAAATGGCAACTTCTGCAACCAGCTGAGACTTCCTGAAAGTGCACTCATCCTATATAATAAAGAAGTAATATGCAAATTGACCATCACACCCTCACAAGATGGCTGCCTACAACCAGGCCATCAGGGGGGTTAGTGAGGGACAACCAAACAACTGAACAAGCAGGCTGTGTGGGTCAACCAGGCTGGCAAGAGAATTAGTGAGGGCCAACCAAACGACTTAACAGCAGGCTGTGTGGAACGACCAGGCCAGCAGGGGGGCAGGGAGGGGAGACCAGGTCGGCAGGGGGGTGCAATTGGGGGTGACCAGGCTGTCAGGGAGGGCAGTTGGAGGCAATTAGGCTAGCAGGGGGGTCACTGAGGGGCAACTAGGCTGGGAGGGGGCAACTGGAGGTGACCATGCCAGCGGGGGAGGGGGGGGGAGGGGACAGTTAGGGGTGACCAGGCTGGCAGACAGGGGCAGTTGGGGGTGACCAGGCCAGTAGGGGGGCAATAAGGAGTGACCAGGCTGGCGGAGGGGGGACAATTAGGAGCAACTAGGCTAGCAGGGAGGGGACAGTTGGTGGCGACTTGGCTGGCAGTGGGGGACAGTTAGGGGTGACCAGGCCAGCAGGAGGTCAGTTAGGGGTGATCAGATCAGCAAGCAAAGACAGTGAGGGGTGATCAGGCTGGCAGGGGGGGGACAGTTAGGGGCAACCAGGTAGGCAGGCAGGTGAGCAATTAGGAACCAGCAGTCCAGAATTGTAAGAGGGATGTCCGACTGCCGGTTTAGGCCCCTGGGATTGGCCCTAAACCAGCAGTCGGACATCCCCCAAGGGGACCCATTTTTTTCATGGTGAAGGGACTGGAGTCTGAGTTGATGAAAACACCTTGGTGGCTGTGGTGACTGGCAGTGGCTGCTAGAGCAGTGGGGTGATGGGGCTGGCGCCTTCCCCTGATCAGCCTGGTCACCTCCCACAGAGGGAAGCCAGACTGCGGCTTAGGTCCGCTCCCAATATACTAGGGGCCTGATGCACCAATTCCGTGCACCAGGCCCCTAGTATAGTATAAGCAATTATAATGAGTTAAATAATGTTACAATGATCCTGGCAAATTGTAAGAATTTTATCACCTGTCCAGACAGCTGGCAATGTAATTGGCCCTGACAGGTAGAAAGAACAGCAGGACAACTTAAAATTATTACCTGAAAATGGAACTTTTAAGCAGAAAAATCTAAATTGATTTATATACATTTGGTGGCCACATACCCTGTAGAACATAGGCCCCTATTATGGCTGCCACACTAAGAATGAGTTATAGGACACCGAATCTTTGTACCCATTCTCTCCTTTTCTGGTTCTTGACCCAGTGAAGGAGCTCATGACATTATAATCCTCTTAACTGCCCTTCAGGTGAAAGATTTTAATTGCAGCCCCAGGACTCAATGCTTCACTCAAGGCAGAAAAGAAACAATGCATTTTTTCTCACCTGTCTAGGACAAGGTCTGGAGCAAAGATGAGCTTGCCAGGGTGGTCGATGGAGCGCCACATCAGCCCCACCATTAGCACCTCCATCCAGCAGTTCTCCAAGAGCCGCACTTGGTCGTACAGGCTGAGCTCCACAAAGCCTGGGGAAAGCGAGAAGCCGTGAGACACACCTGCCCTCCTCCATGGCTCCCTATTTCTCTAAGAACAGAAGAGCAGCTTTTCAAAAGCTTTGAAAACACCAATATAAGGAAACAATCTATATTTTAAAGATGTGGTTAAATGCTGACCTAAGAAAAAAGTTTTGAACTTAAGGTGTGCAACTCACAATTTTCAGTCCAGAACCCCTTCTAGGGATACATATACTTCATTTAGAATTTATAATGGACTGTTAGCTGGGTGTATACAGCTCCCCAGACAGATGCTAGTAAAAAAAAAAAAAAAAAAAAAAAAAAAAAAACCCAGAAAGCTGGGACCAATCTTTGTTGGTTATATCCCAATAACTGCCCTGCACTGCTGACAAAGATAACTCGGGCTACCAGCCAGAAGGGCTGCCTGTCTGGCCCAGCCCATGATTGGGGCTGGGGCTGGGGGTGTGAGGGGCATGCAAAGAGAGCAGGCCCAACCCTGTAGAAAGTTAAGGCTTCAACTGAAAGAATTTTTCCGAGTGCTTAAGATTTCCCTTCCAGTGTTAGAATCACTCTTCTCTGCGTAGGAACACTGACTCTAGGCTATTCTCTCCTGAAGAGTAAATATAACAACTAAAGCAGGTCCTAACAGCCTGATAGCCTGATAGCATGCTTTAGTCAAAGACCTAGAAAGTAAACAGGTATCTCTAGGGAGCTGAGCACTTCAAAAGTAAAGCAGAGGTCACTGCTGCCTTCTCCACTAGCCATGATAAAAGGAGCCAATGGTGCCAAAACTGGTTTGGCTCAGTGGATAGAGTGGCAGCCTGTGGACTGAAGGATCCCGGGTTCGATTCCGGTCAAGGGCAGGCACGTCTCCAGTGGGATGGGAGCAGGAGGCGGCTGATCGATGTTTCTCTCTCATTGATGTTTCTAACTCTCTATGTCTCTCCCTTCCTTTCTGTAAAAAATCAATAAAATATATTTTAAAATAAAAATAAAAGGAGCTGATGGTGTAATATAAATACAGTCCCAAATTGCCTTGGAGTGCAATGGGCTCCAGTTAAAAATCCCACCTCAGCTTCTCCCTAAATAATTACTTAATCTCCTTTTAAGTCTTTGTTTTCTTATAAACCCATCAAAGGTAGCAATGCCTGTCTCTGAGAATTTCCTACAGGTACAATCTCATTATCCTCACTTTACAGATGAGGAAGCTATGGCATAGGGAGCCCCTATGGTTCAAATCTTTGACAATTATAAAGCAAATCTAAGTGGAAAGATGGATATATCCTTTCCAAAGTCACAATTTAGGTTCCTCTGATGTGTACACATTCTGATCTCACCGACAGTTATAGACAATAAGCCTACCAAGGGAGACCAAGCTTTTTATACTTGTAGATATTCAACAAGATCAAGGCTAGGTGATATTTTAATTTATTTTTTAATTTTTTTATTTTTTGTTTGGACAATGACTATATTAGCTGAGAGGCCGGGAGAGAGAGGGATCACATCTTCAGACTATGCCTATAAAACTTTTCAAAAGGCTTGAAGAGGGTCTGATGCAGCATTAAAGTTAAGTTGTGTTATGGCACCAAGAAGCTGCACGAGTCTCAGTAATAATTAATTTCACCACTGCTCTCTACTTGGGGTTCTGAGAAATAGTGTTTGGAAAACATATAGAGCAAAAGCTAGAGGAAAGTGCATCAGCATTGTCTCCTATGGGAAAGAGAAGAGAAAATAATATAATTCTGGCAAAGGTGATGCTAAACTATCAAACAGAACTGGAAACTAGGAAATCCTCAGGGAACTCAAATGCCAACAAATGATCCCAAGAGATACTGTTACCCGAGGCCTGGGTCCCACAGCTCTTTACCCCCAAATGCTCTTCACCCAGCTTCTTAACACTTCCGATCTTTCCAATTCACCCAATGTGGTTGCTGCCCCCAAGACCATGGGAATTGTCCCTAGTTGCTTAGAACTTGGAGAGATCTCATTTTTAGATGTCTGTAAAGATGTATAAGGAGAAGCCCTTTCAGAGGGTGATGGGTTGCTGCCGGTCTAGATTCATTCATTCAAGTACTAATTAGATGGTAGTTTAGTACAATGCAGTACTGCAGGTATGTAGTACCAAAGGCCCGGGGAAGAAATCACATTTCAAGTTGGAAAATACAGGCTCTAAATGACCAGTAGTGAATCATCAAACCCATTTTTAACTTGATGGTATTTCAGGTTTACTGACGATTCACGTTATTTCAGCTGCAAATTTACTCTCTTTGTCCATATATATTTATTCATGTACATACTACTAATTCTCTACTGGAACAATAGCTTACACATCCCTACTTAGCATCTGGCAAACCTTTTACTTGCATACTGGTTATACTGCACCCACTCCACCTCACCTGCCTACACCGTCCTCTCAATGTGAGGAGTCCACAGCCAGGAGCCCAGTGTGGGGCCCAGATCCCTCCCTTTTAGACCATGTGCCAGGTCCCAAAGCCCTCAAGTTTCCTGCCCAAATGGCCCCAAGCCAATTTCCAGAGTCTGACTGGTCTCTGCCTTGGTCTATTCTCCCAGACAAGGCATGAGAGGTGACCAAAGGCTAGTGTTCATAGGACAGGTGGACATGCAGGGTTGGGTGTGCGCATGGCTAGGTGGGATGCAGCTGGGGATGAGTAAAAAAGAGCTGAGAATAGAATAGAATAGAATAGAATAGAATAGAATAGAATAGAATAGAATAGAATAGAATAGAACAGAATAGGCCCTCTCTATGCAAGCCTTCCTGCTCTGCCATGTCTGGTACAGAACCCAGAGGAGCCCAAGAATTCTAAACTGGAACCTGTCACCTAGGCCATGTTGAAGGTGTAAATGTCAAGCTAGGAAGAAAGAACCTCTTTCATTTACAGGTTATAAATCAAGCTGTCAAACTGTTAAATACAGAGGCCTCTTTTGTGGACCTCCACTTTGTACTCTCGCCCCGGAAATGTTAGGGGCAGGCCTTTCTACAAACACACAGAAAGCCAAGACCCAGAGAGCCCTACCCGGAATTTTCTTGGCCCAGCCGATCATGTGCACCAGTTCCTTGTCGGCCAGCTTGGTCAGGGACATCATCATGGAAGCCTCGGTGAAGGGCGCGCTGGGGCGGCTCACCAGCACTTTGGGCGGCTCCGCCTCCAGGAGCGTGAGCACCAGCTGTTCCGGGCTCAGGGCGCTCAACAGTAGCTCCTTCACTCGGCTCACCTGTCCATTCTTCTTGGCTTTGTTCAGACAGTGCAGCTGCTCATCGGAACTCTTCTGCCTCCGCACTAGGCGGTACCCACACCTTTCCCTCCGGGAGCCTAAAGTAGAGAGCAGATAACAGTGCTTGCTTTCCCCTGCCCCTCCCCCAACCCGGCATTCAAGTTCCCCGAGTAATCAAGGTAAAAATGAGTCAGTAACATCATTGTAAGACCTGAGTCTATTCTCAGAATGTGTCATAAACAGAAACCCGACTTATTTTTCTGGAGCCTGCAGGGCATGTACCAAAGATTTTTATATTTGTAACTGTATTTTCAAAATCAGTAACATGAATTTCTACAGACAATAGCCCAGATGATCTTAAGGTCTCCATTTCAAGGTTATCTATGGATACTAAATCCGTTTCTCTTTTAAGGAGTGATGACATATCTCAGTTTCCAAACCATGAAATTAGGAATTTTCTTCAAGCAAAAGATGGGAGAAAGTTAGAAAATGAACACTGATATTTCCAAACAATTATCAAACAGTACACTTTTATAATACATTCTTAAAATATTTACATGCATGTGTTGTGTATCTATATGTATGTGTATATATTCTTTTTAGGCACACAAAAAAAGTATATTTCAATTAATTGAAAAAAATTTGGAAAATATAGAGGAACACAAATTTTGGCATGTTCTTTTAATGCTTTTTTACTTTTCCATATTTTAATATATAAAATTATAACCATAATGTATATACTATGAAAATCATAATGTATATCCTATTTTATAACCTGCTTTTTATAATAAAAGATAAATAATTCAAACATATATATATATATATATATATATATATATGTCAAAACAGCAGCAACAAAACTTAGTCTACAAATATAACACCAAAAAGGGACTGAAAGAAAAAATAGAAATTGACAAATACACTATTATAATGAAATATTTTAATATCTCTCTCAGCACTGATATATAGGAGAAAATGTTCATAAATCAGCTCAGTGAACAAAGTTCATCTATAAAACCCCATGAACATTTGCATAAATTATCACATACTATGTCATGAATAAAATCTTAATTAAAAATGTTCTCATATAGAGCATATTCTCTAAAATATAACAAAAATAGAAATCAACAAATTCCAAATGCCTATAAATTTGAACACAAAAGTATTTATAAAGATACATTGATTACAGACCTATGTGAATTAAAATAAAGAAAGATATAAGTCAGGATGTCATTAGCATAGGTATAATTTTATATGAATTTTCCCTAAAAGAAAAAAATCTAAAAATTCAAATCTGCAAAATGTCGTTTCTATATTACCATTATATTTGTTCACTAAATTCAATTGTCCATTTTTAAAAATATGTTCATTAGCAAGTATAAAAATATTTTAATTATTTGCTCCCAAGAAAATTTATATGATTTTCCCCTTATCCTTGGCTAGTTGTAGTAGAAGGAAGGACTCCATCCATTCAGAGATATTTGAATCAAACTTATTACTAAAAGAATTATTAAAAGCCTAAAACATTCATTTTATTAGTAATCAGATAGAGTGCTACAGACAGTTAAGATAAAGTATTGCCCCCAAGTAAAATGGAACAAAGTGTTTGGTTTAAGAAAGTACCTTTCCTCCCTAACCGGTTTTGCTCTGTGGATAGAGACAAAGTTACTAAAAGATTTTCAGCCCTAGCCAGTTTGGCTCAGTGGATAGACCGTCAGTCTGTAGATTCAAGGGTTCTGGGTTCGATTCTGGTCAAGGGCACATGCCAGGGTTGTTGGCTCAATCCCCAGCAGGGGGGGAGGCATCCAATCAATGATTCTCATCATTGATGTTTCTCTCTCTCCCTCACCTTTTCCCTTACTCTCTGAAATCAATAAAAATAAAATTTTAAAAAAAGATTTTCATATAAGAAAAAGAGAGATTTGTTTTAAAACTTTTAAATAGTTACAAAGAAAGAAATTACACACAACCACAGGCAAAATTTTGGCTAGCGGAAGAGTAAGAAAGTACAAGCAGAGTTGTATGAGTATATAGAAATAAGCAAGTGTGTACAGACAAGTGAGTCAAAAGTTAGCCTGGTGGAAAGAACAGAATGTAGGCATTACTTCCAGTTGTTATACTAATGTGCTCATTTTCCTTTGTGTGTTTTTTCACTAGTTAATTAGGGAATAAAGAAATTTTCATGTATGTGTATGTGTGTGTGTGTGTGTATGAAGATACACACACACACACACACACACACATATATATATATATATATATATATATATATATATATATATATATATTTACACAGGTATATGCACATATACATATTGTCATAGCACAAAATCTATGCTCTATGTGCTTTCCATAGTTCTATTATATTTCTGATTCCTATGCATTTCTTCTCCAGTTCTAGGAAGCTATCAGAGAAATACTCGTGAACCTATCTATGCCACCCAAGTAACACAAAATATGCTACTTTCTTGTCAGCTTTAACATGAGCATTTGCCAGACCTTCAACCTTAGACTTTTCAAGGCTTCAGGCAGATGGTCATCTAGCCCCTGTGTGAGCACTTCAGTGGCTCGAGTTCCCTAATTCATGTGGCAGCCTATTCTGCTGTTAGACCACTTGAATCACAGAAAGTTCTTCCCTATATTGGGCCAAAATCTGCCTCCTGTATCTTGCTCCCACTCACTCCAGCTCTGTATTCTGCAGGAACAAGGAATATGTCAACACCCCCTCCAATGTGACAGCATACAAATACTTGAAGATAACTAACAAATCCTAAATCTCCTCTCACCCGGACCACAGGTCCTTTTAGCTCTCTGCATGTCCCACTTACAATAAAAAGGGAAATAAACACTCACCACACTTCACCATCCCGACTTCATAGCACTTCCGAAGTCGGCAGGCTTGGCAGCTTTTGCGCCGATTCTTATCTATTGTGCACTGATTTGTAGCTGGACAAATATAATCATTATGTCCTACAGCAAAGCAAAACGATGAAGGTTATTGTTACAATATGTTCCTGGTCAACAACACTGGTTATGCTACCCAGCTGAGAGATAAGGAACATCTTCTTGATGACAGGCACAGGTACAAAGGCCAAGTTCGCCCTCGTCCATGCCTTGTTAGTAAAGGAAACCTAGGAATATTTTAATACCCTACTTTATTGACTAATAGGTTATTCTCTGCATGTACTTAGAATTCTCAAGAGATACATTTAGAAATATTCTCCTTTGGACAAGGAAAGTGGCACAGTGACCTGTAAATGACTTGCTCCAAATCTCAGAGCTCCTCAAATACCAGGTCACAAATTCAACTGCTTATATTCTTTAACATATATCCCCCTTTGAGATTTAACATGATAGTTTTATGGAAATAAATAAAAGAACTAAACTAGTCAATAAGGGAATAGAGAAATTTGCAAACTTAATAAGAACAAAAAGAACTACTATAAACAATGGTGGAAGATTAGATTATTATTCTCAATTTTTCCCTCCCTCCTTCCCTCAGCCTTGTGACCTTGTAGTGTGCTAGAGTGAGCAGAACATACTTCTTCACCAACTGATGATGGGCTTGGCCATGGGACTTGCTTTAGCCAATGGCATGTTTCTAGATGTGCTATTCCAACAAGATGGCTTAGCCTCAAGTCCTCATGAGAAAATGCCTTGGGTAGCCACTAGCCCAAGGACAATATGGAGAGAAATGGAGCAGATGTGCACTCAATCCAAGCTTTATGAAGAGAGCCACAGACCTACAACTAAGAAAAGTAATGCTCATTGTGGTAAGATGCTAGTTATATGGCAATCTCTGACTAAAGACAATGATACTTCTTTTAATTCTTTTAAGAAAGAGAGAAGAAAAATTCCATTTCAGAAATTGTTTCAGATGCAACATGGAGGATGGATTAGAGGCAGCAAACTGATGGAGGCACAGCTATAGCTGTGCAAACCAGAGATGAGGCTGCCTAGACTGCATAATGGTACAGAGAATGAAGAGAGCTAACGGAATCTGAGAGATTTAGGGAATGTAATAGGAGAGAATAGAATTATAATTAAAAAGATGTAAAATAAAAGTGCATAGGATACTTTGGTACCTTATTTCTTAATTGTGTTTTTCTAATAAACAATATGGCCTGAACTTCTTATATTCAAGCTTCAATGGGCTATTTCTTAATTGTGTCTTTCTAATAAACAATATGGCCTGAACTTCTTACATTCAAGCTACAATGGGCCAGAATTTCAACATGGGAAATGGATGAGTCTCAATAATAAATTAAATGGGCAAGTCATAAAAGAAACAAATCACAAGCAAAAAATAAAGGAGAAGATTCCATTTTGTAAAGTTCAAAAATAGAGAAAACGAAACTGCATTGTTTAGGGATGTATGCGTAGGTGGTAAATCCAAGCAAGGCAAGGAAGGCAGAAGTTAGCACTATCTTACCTCTGTAGGAAGGGAAGAAGCTGTAACTAGAAGGACCGCCCAGAGGACTCTGAAGATATCCTACTGGTATTTCATGACCTGAGCACTAGTTACACAGGAGTTTGTATTCTTTACACAGGCTATAAATAAATCCTGGAATAAATACATTCCTTAACTCTATCCTCTGAGAGAGCCTGGAAGTAGGGACATCCAAGAACAATGAGCAAACCAGCACCAAGATCTTGGTATGTAAATATCATTCTCTTTTAAGAAGAAATGGGGCTCTTTGGAGAAAGTTTATTTCAGGACTGGGGCAGAGATAGTTCAAGATGAACCTGAAACAGCTTGTTGTGCTGGGAAGTAAAGAAGGGCCCAAGAGTTAATGAGGGTAAGATGGGGGATATTTGTAATACTTTCAACAATAAAGATTTTTTTTAAGTGCCCAAGAATTATGGGTACATCACTCACACACACACACACACACACACACACACACACACACACACAAAGTAAAGCAAACAAGCTCATAGACACAGACAACAGCAATGTGGTTACCAGGGGTAGGAGGAATAAAGAGAGTAAAGGGGGTCTAACTATATGGTGATGGAAAGAGACTAGACTTTGGGTGGTGAGTACACAATGCAATATAAAGATAATGTATCATAGAATTGTATACTTAAAATTTATAAAATATATTAACCAATGTCACCCCAATAAATTTAATTCAATAAAAAAAGAAAGCGACTTCAGCAAAATTTGGGCTGGCCAGGGAGGAACAGCATGGCAAGGACAGGTGAGGTGATGGCCCAACTGGCCTAGAAAGCAGGTATGCATAATTTGAAATGGATTTTTAAAAGGTGATTTAAAAAAAAACTACTCAGCCCAACAGAAATTTAAGAGGCTGTAGGAAAATGGTATAAACCAAGACAAAGAAAACAAGAGGATTATGGATGGAGGCTCCACTCGTTCAGAACAAGACAGGCCTCTAGATCAATTCTCAAAGCCCACTGAAGTTGAATTCCTGATTTCTGACCATTTCCATAGATGTATTTATTCTCTCTTCCTCCGGAGCCAGCCCATGATCATGTCTGTTACTCATGCTAGATATTTAACATAAGTCAAAGGAAGAAACAATCTTTGCATTTCCTAATTGCATTGCAATTCCTAATGAACACCGTTTTTTCCCAACCTTTAGCTTGATAAGAGTTGCAACTAGATGTCTTCTCCCAAGAAGATGGTGATGGATAATTGTAAGGCAAAACCCATTTGAGTTCTGGGGTTCTGAGGTGGAGATACACAACTTATTAAGGGCTTTAAAGTTGAAACAATCCACACCACCCCCAAACACACATGAGCCTCTAAACCGATCATCAAGTACTTTGTGTACAAGAGGCCAGTGGTGAAATTTTTACCAGGTCATCTGCCAAACTAAAAGCAAAAGTGGAAAACTCAAAAAACAACTAACAATACTCTTGTACCTTGAATGCTTCTTTTAAAAAAGGCCTTACATCCTTCACATGACCAGACTCCATAGTGATATCCTGATGCGTAGTCACTGCAGACAGCACAGACATGGGCATCCCTCTTTGAACTTGGACTCGTAACAGGGCTGGCACAACTGCTCCCACTAACCTTCCTTTTCAATGTCTCTCTGGAGGCAAAGAAAATATTCTTGTAAAAAGTCTTAAAGGGAAAAGAGAGACTTTGTAAGAAAACACAAAAATATAGCATGCAGCATTTATCTTCTTGCTCTCCGGAGTTCATAAACACTAAACTGTGATTTCACTTACAAGATAAGGAGGATCCAAATTGAAAGTTAAGTAAAAATTTCTTTTTCAAACACAAATCACTTCATCTGAAGAAAAGTGATGTAAATGGTCATGATTGTGAGTTCTCTCCACAACACAGATCTACAAACTCAACTTTTAATGAGAACTCAAATATTAAAATGGATATTCTAGAATATCATGTTCTAGATGCTCTAAGTAATCAATGTGACTAATAAAAACCTCATATAATGTATATCTTTCTTCTCACAACATCATAAAGCAATTTGAATAATGCCCATTAACTACAGTAAAGACTAGATTTACCTGTTTAAAGGTAAGGTGTGTTCTAGTGATCTTGCTTCACACCAAGGACTCTTTTGAGGTTCTGCGTACAGAACTGAAGACTGGCAGTGGATGGCTAAAGGAGAGAGGTGTCCAGGAGTTGGCCACAACATGTTTGGGCTTGTGGTCTGTCGACCCAGACTGCCCTCCAAGTTATTGACACTGCTGGGAATACTGTAATTCATCACAGCTGGGCTGTAGAATGTCATGGCTGAGTATTCATGGTGGCTTTCTACATAGGAGGAAGGTATGTATATGGGGCTGTGCTCCAGGGGAAGGATGGATTGACTGCAGTTGTAGGAGGCAGGAGAGTTAAGGCTAGATGGGGAGTTTTTGATATCCATGTCTTGAATAGGTAACATCTGAGAAAATTCCTTGTGAGAAGAGCCACATAGGGACATAATGGTCTCAGTCTCGTGGGCAGGTATACTGGCTGTAAAGAGAAACAAAAGACATTTCTTTGTCAGAGATACAGGCATAACTATTTAAAATCTTTAAGCATTTTTATTAAACACACACACACACACTGGTATGAGTTTAGAAATACATCCTGAAAGATAAACATAAAAATATTAATCTCAAAAGGATGGAAATGTGAAGCAAGGGACTCTCATTTTCCACTTCACTCACTTCTTTATTATTCTTATTGATAACCAGAAGAATTTTTACCATGGGAATGGTAAAAATTAATTTTTTTAACTTTAAAAAAATAAAAATTTAAATTATATAAAAATTACTGTGTGTGTGTGTGTGTGTGTTTGTGTGTGTGTGTGTGTGTGTGTGTGTGTGTGTGTGTGTTTTAATCTGGAACAAGATAAAGTTGTTACAGAAAATTAATCAAGAAAAATCAGGGAACCCCAGAATGAGCACATTAATGAGCAGGGCTAATAATAAAAAACAAGGAATCACCAGACCAATGTAACTGTCAGTTATCAGTTTATTCAACTTCTATACATGCTCCATGACAACAATCGAGTTCCCATAGCATTTAAAATGACCCTCTGCTAAACTTCCTTGGCCGAGGGCACTGCAGGGACACCGCAGGAGGAAGAGGGTGCTGTGATTTCTGGCCCACTCCTTATTTCCTATTTGTGTTCATGACAAAGCCCATTCCAATTATCTTTAATTGTCCCCTTCATCCAATTCCCTTTAATCACCAAGACACACTGGTTATTTCCTCCACCGTGCCTTTTCCCATGCTGTCTTTTGCCACCATCTGAGCAAGCTCTCTTATCTGAGCATCTGCAGTAGGATCCTTACTCCTCATCCAAAGAGCAGCCAGATTAACATTCTTCATACCCAGCTCTGATCACCCCTAACCCCCTCTGCTTCCCACCAGCCCCTGTAGTAAGTCACAGTCTTCTAACATTCAAAGCCTTCCACTATTGTTCCATCCTATTATTCCTCTCTGATCTGCTATTTTCATACAGGAAACCTGCCATGTCCATAAGAAATATGCAAAGTCCATTGTGAAGTGGTTGGCATTGTGTGCCTTAACAGTTTTTTTCATTCTTGACACTCCTATAGTTAATATACAAATTTAACCCTTTTTATCAGATTACAACTATATAGAATCCTTCTTGAAAGTGGTAGAGGTGGGGTGGAATTACAATCAGATTTTTAAACTCCTTGAAGGCACTCACTATATTTTATTCATCTTCCACCACAACTCAATAATTATGTGTTGCTAGAGGCCCAGTGCATGAAATTCATGCACAGGGGCAGGAGGGTCCTTCAGCCTAGCCTGCACCCTCTCCAATCTAGGAACCCCCTCGGGAGATGTGGGATCAGTCCTAAACTGGCAGTCTGACATCCCTCTTGCAATCTAGGACCACTGGCTCCTAACCACTCACCTGCCTGCCTTCCTAATGCCCCCAACTGCCCTCCACTGCTGGCCTGGTTGTGCCCCCAACTGCCCTCCCCTGCAGGCATGGTTGTCCCAAAATGCTCTCCCCTGCCAGCCTGATCGCCCCTAAACCCCCCTACCAGCCTGATCTTGCCCCTAACCCTCTGCCAGGCTGACCTTGCCTCTAACTGCTCTCCCCTGCCAGCCTGATCGACCCTAATTGGCTCTGCCTCAGACCCCACCACCATGGCTTTGTCTGGAAAAAAGTAGGATATCTGAAAAATGGCCAGTTGAACCAGTCTAATTAGCATATTACCCTTTTATTAGTATAGATAAGGAAAGAATGAGGAAATGTGTTAAAAATATAAGATTTCACCAAGAAAGGGTATTAATTGAAGATGGGCAAGTTTGGTACTGTGCTGAGAGAGGGGATTTGAAGGAGTCCCAAAACAAGCACCCTGCCTTCAGGGAACCCTGTACCAGGTAAAGGAGGCAGGATGGACCAGGTAAGTGATAATGAATTAATACAAAAGGTGTTACCATTTCTAATTAACATTGATTGACCACAAGGGACAGGAAAGAGAATGATAGCTGGAGAATGTAGGATGGAGGAAGTCTATTTTGTTTTTTAAATCTATGTGCATTTTATTAATCAGGAGTAATTTCATGTTTCAATTACTTAGATTCCCAATCAAAATATACAATCCCTGATTCCTAATAGAAAATATGCAGGATAAAACTACTGCCAAAAGTTTACAAACCTTTTTTTTTTAATTGTGGTAAAAACATATAACATAAAATTTACCATCTTAACCATTTCTAAGTGTTCAATTCAGTAGTGTTAAGTACACTCATACTGTTATGCAACTAATCTCTAGAACTCTTTTCATCTTGTAAAATTAAAACTCTACACCTGTTAACAACAGCTTCCCCATTCCTCCCTCCCCCAGCCCAGCAACCCCCTTACTTTCTGTCTCTCTGGATTTGACATATAAATGAGATAATACAGTATTTGCTCTTTTGTGACTGACTTCCTTCACTTAGCATAATGTCCGCAAGGTTCACCCATGCTGTTGCATGTGTCAGAATTTCCTTCCTTTTTATGGCTAAATTCCTTTGTATTTATGCACTACATTTTGTTTATCAATGAAAGGTTTTTAATAGATGCATAGAAATGACCTAGGTTATAGTGACCTTTTCTATGGGTTGACACAGGAAAAACCAAGGTCATTGGTAACCTTATAGATGGCAGATCCAGGACTGACAGCACTACAAAAACTTCTCTTATTTCAATCCACCTACACATACATCTGCTCACTGTACTTATGTTTTCAATATTGTATCTTGACAACTTCATTTTAGTGCATTGTTTTTGCTACATGATCTCAGCATATCTTATATAAGCAAATATTTCACCAAAAAGCATTTAAAGCACATTAACAGCACAATTTAAACCATATACAATTTTAACAGTTGAAAGCAATATATTTAAAGTAACAGGTGTAGCAAATTTTATCTATGGATAATAAAATGAAGGTAATATTTAAAATTTGTATTTCTTAAACTATTTTTTAAAAGGTATATTAAACAGACTGGCATACCCAATTACATAAATAAAAAGTATATCCAAAAGTTAGTGTGATCATAATTTTGAGTATACTAACTTTCTTATACAAACTACTACTCAGGGTAAACTTATATATGAATAAAGTCAACACTCTCAATAATCAAATGAAGACTAAATTATAGCCCTAATTGATTTGGCTCAGTGGATAGAGCAACGGCCTATGGACTAAAAGATCCCAGGTTTGATTCCGGTCAAGGGCATGTACCTTGGTTTTGGGCCCATCCCCAGTAGGAGGTGTGTAAGAGGCAGCTGATCAATGTTTCTCTCTCATTGATGTTTCTAGCTCTCTATCCCTCTCCCTTCCTCTCTGTAAAAAAAATATATAGATAGATAGATATAGATATAGATATAGATATAGATATATATAGAGAGAGATTTTTTTTTAAGACTAAATTATATTCAGGAAATTATGAAGCAGGAAAGCAGTGAATTTTAGAATAACAATTTCAACAGGAGACTTCAAATTAATACTCAATTAGCCCTGGACTGTGGCTCAGTTGGTTGGAGCATTGTCCTATTCACCAAAAAGTTGGGGTTTCAATTCCCAGTCAGAGCCCCTAATAGCACATATCTAGGTTGCAGGTTCAATCCCCAGTCAGGGCATATAAGAGGCAACTAATCAATCAATCAATCTCTCTCTCTCTCTATTTCTCACTCTCTCAAATCAATTAACATATCCTCAGGTGAGAATTAAAGAAATTAATAATTAATGAAAAATAAATTAAACAGATTAAACAAAACAGAATTTGGTCAATGATGGTATTACTGAATTTGATGTTGTCTCAACTTTACATTGCCCAAAGAAACATATGGATCATTTTAGCATAAGTATTTCAGCAAAGACAAAGACTACAAACAACTTCTATATTTTCCTTTCATGAGGCCACTTAAAACATTAAGCTTCTACTGACACAAAGTGATAAATAGTAGCATGGAAATTCACGAACTTGAAATAACACCTCCCTTTACCTAGCTGGAAAATGATCACACAATTTAAAATGAATATGACATCTCTCTCAGAAGCAGAGAATCAATCTCATCACTCATTTTCACCTATTAGTGAAATTTTCATTCTCGGCCCAGAAATGCTGAAATGACCTGTGAGACACACACCACCAAATGGTAAATGCCAAGATTCATCCACGCAATCAATTACGTGCCACAGTGACATTGCTTAGAAAATTTGGATTTTATATAAGTACTCCAATCAACCTCTCTAGAATTTCCACACAGCCCTGTTCCATGATAATTAATCTGAGAGAACTGTTTGCTGGACAGTAATTAAAAAACTGTATGCTGTTTTTTAGTTGGACATATTTTAGATGTACCCAGATTTATGTGACAATTCAGTGGAATCTTGGGTAATTAGTAACTTGGTAGCCAGTGAAAAAAAGATTTTCTTCTTAAACAAAGACTCAGTAAGGGGTGATGAACTGAAATCAGTGCAGTAGACTTGGGAGACAGGAGGATAGCAAAAGAGAAATCTTCCCCACTGAAGGTCTATACAAGTGAAAGTGAATTTTTTTAAAACCTGTGTAGTCATTTATGAGTAAGTAGTCCTAATCTAAAACAGAGATATAGACTGCCTGAAGAAAAAAACTGCCAAAAAATCAAATTTCTTCAACATTATAGGACAGGATTTCCCCCCCTCCCACTTGTTTGAACATCCAAGCATTGCCTCGGGGACTACAATACCTGGTACAACAGGGGAAATAGTCTCGAAACAGTTTCACTGTTGGGCCTGGCAGGCATGGAATTTCTCCTGGGCAACAAAGGAACAAGAACCAGAACATCCCAATTCTATGAATTAGCCATTTCTTTGCATATCAGTTTTCTTAAATTAGTCATCATAGCCTAAAATAGTTGGCCCATATCCTTTGTGACCTGTCTTCTGTCCAGAATTCCCTCTCCACTGGCCCAGCACACACACCTGTGTTGAACCCCCTTGGGTCATAGCTGCATTCAGTGGCAAATTTTTT